ACGAGGTGTTGGTCAAAGACTGAGGGAGCTCCCCAGTTACATAGCTCATGTTATATAATTCAAGTACAGTAGACCCTCACCTAACGAACGCATCGCATAACGTTAAATCCGCCTAACGAAGCGTTTGAGCGTAAAAATTTTGCCCTGCCTAACGATAAAAAACTTGCCCAATGTGATCTGTCCGGGACCTGTCCACGTGTAGCCTGAGCATGCCTCAGTCCCCCATGGGTGCCAGTGTTTACAAGCCAGCCAGTGCAGTCGCATCTAGCATACATTCAGTACATTTCACATTACCCCCATTTGTTTTTAAGTGCTTTTAAACTGCAAAGTAAGTCACAATGGGCCCCAAGAAAGCTTCTAGTGCCAACCATGTGGTAAAAAGGGTGAGAATTAGTAGGGAAATGAAGAAAGAGATAACTGCAAAGTACGAAAGTGGAGTGCATTTCTCAGAGTTAGTCAGGTTGTATACCAAACCCCAATCAACCCTCACTACTATCTTGGCCAACAAAATTTGGGAATCAAGGAAGCTGTTCTTGCAAAAAGGGGCCACAACTGAAGAAATTGCTTCAGAGGAGGGGAGAGAGAAATTGAGGAAGTTGCCTTCTTCAACGATTAAGGAAATGTGTACAATGTGGTCAAATGTGCAAACCTTTTTTGGAGAAAAATCACCCCGACACAGCTAAAGCAAGCCGTTCTGGTGACTTTTACAATGACAATGTTGTGAACCACTTTGGGAAAATCTTAACCCTTTCAAGGTTTTGACGTACTAGTACGGCTTACGCACCAGGGTTTTTTTACATACTAGTATGCCTAAATTCTAGCGCCCTTTAAATCTGTGAGAGAAATCTGGTAGGGGCCCACATAAAAAGAATGGGGGCTATGTGGGCAGTGTGCGCAGTATAAAAAAAATCCTGCACACAGTGCGTAAAGGAAAAAAAAACTGACAGTGTTTTTGGTTTAAAACAGCGACTTTGCACTGTATTTTTGTATGGTATTTTAATGATATTCTAGTTTTCCTGGTCTTATTTTATAGAATGGAAGACTATTACAGAAATTGATATTATTTTGATTGGTTTTACAATGAAAAGTACCCTTTAAATTAAGCTCAAAGTAGCTGAAATCTTCGGGTTTTTTCCAAAGTTCAAAAGTAAAAAAAATCATGCTACGCATCCAATACACCCTCAACTGGTGAGTCTAATATTCTTTCACAAGTGCGCTGATATTATTTATACCATTTCTTCGCTAATGCAGTAGTCTGCATAACAGTAAATCTTCTATTTTTTGTGAGAAAAAAATTCAAGTGGAAAGCAAAAGAATATAAGAGGGGTGTGGGGACATACTAATGAACAGAGGAAATGTTATTTTAGTGCCAGGAATGTCTTTCTTATTTATTCTGGACCTATTGGAAATTGGCATCTTTTGAAATTTTGTGTGAAATTGGCAAAATTTTCTAAATTCCTGACCACTTTATTGGATAGTTTAAATCAGTAAATGGGTGGTTTCTTGTTCTAGCAAAATAGCTATGATTTTTGTCAACCAGTACACTGGAATTGACCGAAATAGGCTCAAAGTGGGCAAAATTGCTGATGCGTAAACATCGTCGAGACCACTAAATTTTTCGAGAGCATAATTCTGTAAGTTTTTTCCCTCAAATTTCATATTTTTGGTGTCATTATGATTAGGAAAAGATTCTCTATTTTTCATAAGAATTTTTTTTTTTTTTTTTTTAAATTTGTCGACCCTGAGAACAAGTCGGGAGAGGGCCTGTTAACCCTGAAAGGGTTAAGGAATGCAAGGTACAGAGCTCTATGGACAGATTTTTGGGGCAACAGAGGCCCAGTGACTCTCAAGTTGTTTCCTGGCATTAAAAAAAGAAGGGAAGTAACCCAGAAAAGGACTTGCTACCTTAAGTCCTCATGGAAGGGGATTCCCCTTCCAAAAATAACAATTCCACCATCTTCCTCCTCCTCCCATCCCATCAATCATCACCAATCTTCAATAAAGGTAAGTGTCATGTATTCTTTATTCAGTACAGTAGTAATTGGGGCATGTCTTCTTCTTTTTAGATGCATAAAAATGTATATGTCATGTGGTAAATTTTTTTTTTTTTCATACTTTGGGGTGTCAGGAACGGATTAATTTGATTTCCATTACAGTGGACCCCCGAATTTCATGATTAATCCGTTCCAGAGAGCCTGCCGAAAGTCAAAATTCACGAAACTCGAAACCATTTTCCCCATAAGAAATAATGGAAATAAAATTAATCCGTTCCAGACACCCAAAAATATTAAAATAAAATATTTTTTTCAAATTAAATAAACATTTATATACTGAAATCAACAAGAAATCAAGTACATGCATATAAAATATAATAATAACATTACACTTACCTTTACTGAAGACTTCTGGGTGGATGGAAGATGGGAGGAGGGGATAGGAGGAAGGTGTACACTACTGTTTGGAAGGAGAATCTCCTTCCTTTAGGACTTTAGGTAGCAAGTCCTTAACTGGGGTTACTTCCCTTCTTTTAATGCCACTGGGAACAACTTGAGAGTCACTGGACCCCTGTCGCACAAAATATCTGTCCAGAGGTGTCGTTTTTTGGTGTTTCTTTAAGATTTTCCTGAAGTGGGACACAACACTGTCATTGTACATGTTGCAGATATGGCTTGTTTCAGCTTGGTCAGGGTGATACTTTTCAACAAAACTTTGCAACTCATTCCACTTGGCACATATCTCCTTAATATTTGAAGAAGGCACCTCATCCACTCCCTGTTCCTCCTCCTCTGAAGCAAGTTCCTCGACTGTGGTCTGATGCTGTTCCAATTGAAGCTTTTGCAGTTCATTAGTGGTTAGCTCTTCCCTGTGGTCCTCCACCAACTCTTCCACATCCCCGTCACTCACCTCCAACCCCATGGACTTGCCCAGTGCCACAACACCTTCCACAACAGGCAGAGGGTTGGCAGGGACAGGGTCTGCCTCAAACCCTTCAAAATCCCTCTGGAATGTGTTCCTCACTTTATTTACCAAAGGGCTTGCACTAGCTTTCCTTGGGTCCATGATGACTTATTTAGCAGTTGCAAGCACAAAAAACAATGGATTATTATGAAATGTATTGTATGAACCCGAGGGGTGATGGTCACGTGTTGGTAAACAATGGCACACTGAGTGTGAGTGGCGTGGGAGACTGGCTTGGTGTGCGCGGTGATGGGCGGACAAGTACAGGACGGTCGCCGAAACACGAGTCTTATCACAAAACTCGAGGCCAAATTTTGCCAAAAAAAAACTCGCCGAAGGTAGAATTTCACGAAAGTCGAGGCTGCCAAAACTCAAGGGTGCACTGTATTTCTTAAGGAAAAATTAATTCGGCTAATGATAATTTCGGCTAACGATGAGCTCTCAGAAACAGATTAATATCGTTAGGCGAGTGCCCACTGTAATGGATTACGTGGTACTCGACACAGCAATCTGAGTATGTTGTAAGTAATACCAACCTCACCAGGCAACATGGAGTTGCCCTTAATTAGTGCTGCATCAAGTTCATAATTAGTGTAAGGAATGTTGCAGTCATCTTCCTTGCTGAGCATAAAGCAAACAAGTCTCTCCCTTGCATCATATTTGTCACTTAATTTCACCTGTGTGGTACGGGGAAGATTGTCATAGCTAGATGTAGCAGCCCAAGCACTGACTAACTCATTCGCCCTATGTAAGAGATGAGGGTGCACGATCTGCCCAGTTCTGCTACTCCTAATTCTATTTATGTCTCTCCATGCGTGGCTAAATGGGGTGTGAGCAATGAGACCACTGACAAATTTTCCCAGTCTGTTTGCCGCAGCTCTGTCATACGCTCTCTGGCAGCAGCAAAGGCAGTTTGAAAGAGCCTCAGCTTTCCAGGGGTACGATGTTTTCTATAGGCTAGGCCTAGTCTGTGAGCAGCACGTTTCAGTGTTCCAAGTTTAATATCACTGTAATAAGTATGGCTTTTATAGGAGGTATGATTATTATGGGAGTCAGTTGGGTTTAGAGTACCAAGAAGTTTCAGAGGCAGCTCTAAGTAGTTCTGAATACTGCTCACAAGGTCATTGTTAAAGGTCTCAACAGAGGTACACACATAGGAATTATACCAGTCAGTCACATGTGCAACAAAGTCTTCATGCTGATCTGTGGGAACATTAAAACATTTCCATTTGAATATCCCACCCAGAAGGTTAGTATTACCAATATCTAGTGAGGTTAGCCTTGGGAAATGATCAGATGATATTTCTGTTACAATGGAAGACACACAGCTGACAGAAGTAATGTTGAAGCCCAGGCACAGATCAAGGATGCCTCCATAGATATGTGTGGGTTCAGGGTCACCTACAATTTGCACATTATCATGATTGTTTAACCAGTAAATGGTCCAAATGTATATAAATGTTTTTTCAACATTTGAAAGTACATAAAAAAAGGAGTTTTTTTTTTTTTACATTTGAAAATGTGTAAAAAAACTTTGATCTACTTTTTTTTTGTTATTGTAAATATGTAAAAAAAAAAACGTAGATCTACTTTTGGAGCACTACACATGTGAACGTAGATCTGCTTGGACCGTTTATGGGTTAAGAGTGACAACAGTTGATTACCATTACGATTACCAAACTGAGTTTCCAATGCTTTTGTGTCTTGCATTATAATCGCCAATAATAAGAGTAGGTTCAGAATGAGCACAAGCTGGGAGCACTGAGTAATTAAACTTATCAGCAGGAGCATACAAGTTAAATATGTTGAGAGCAGAGTTCCCAATATAAATCTTAACACTGTGATATCGAAGAAAAAAGGGAAAACAACATAACACCCAACACCCCGCCATTTTCCACTTCTGCGACTACTTGCTATGATCCAACTGTCCATTAAACTAATGTTTAATATCTGTACATAAATTACCATTCCCTAGACACTGACCAACTGTACTTGTACAGCTCATCCATTTAAATACAATATTATCAAAAGAATTATCTTACCTCTCAGAGAATTCATAACATATGGAGCTGAGATCTGTGGTCTTCTTTCCATGTACATTTTGAGCACAACACTCAACTCCAGGTGCGTGTTGCGTATTATGTCGCTGTAGCGGCGACAGTAATGCACCGGAAGAGTGCACTCTGGACAAGTCTTCAGACCTACTTCTTGACATGGCTTCATCATCCATGCATCCAGCGTCCTCACTTCAATAGCATGTCCACACTCTTCTAACAACACATACCTGCAAAGTGTGATGATTTCAATAATAGATTAACCCTTTTACTGTTGGTGCTGTAATACTATGGCTTACAAGCCAGTGTTAGTGCTGTAGTATTATGCAAAAATTTTAGAAACTTCAAATCTAATGGGAAAAAGCTGGTAGGTCTGTATGTGAGAGAATGGGTCTGCATGCTGTGTATGCAGTATAAAAAATTAGAGAGCCAGTGGTGCATTGTGGGAATGCCATTTCAGTATGCCTTATTCATCATGTCTCGTGGTAAGAAATACTTCACTCTCTGGTGAATTGGGACTTTTCCCCAAGTGTGAGTGAAGATGAATTTCATGGTTTTTAAGAATTTGTGACCTAAAGCAATGCCCAGGATACAAGAAATAATGCTGAAAACCCAGATGACCCTCAACCTTTTACCTCAGGTGCTAGCCTGTCTTGTTCATGTTCAATTGTACCAGAGCAAAAGAGGAAGTTCATATTTTCCAGTGTCCAGGACTCAGATGTGAGCATTGGTGATGATAGTGATTGTGATTTCCAAGCTCTTGATTACAGTTCCAGTAGTGACAGTGAAGAGGAATATTCTCCAGTGAAGTGTCAATATATACGACGCTACATGCATTCTGGTAGTGTGCCATTTGCTACTCCAAGGGGAAGGACTACATCTTGGAGTACATCCCATGACCCTACACCAGGAACAGACAGTGAAAATGACGATGATATTGTTACAATTGGGATGGATAATATGCATGCAGCATCAGGTGGTGGTGGCGGTGCTATGCTGCCTCATGTGGCACCAGCTGCACCCCATGCTGGTAGCCACACTGCTGACTCAGCACATCCACAACAAAGGCCACACTCAACCACCCACACACCACAACAACCTACACAACCAAAACCAACTGTCAATATCCAGTACCCACCAGTAGACTGCATTTAGGATTAGCAGCAAGGTGCCAACTTTGTCCTCATTGATGCTTGTGAGGGGCTCTTGATCTAGGGAATTATATCTGTGCTCCAGTTCTCTAAATTAAGCCTGAATACTTTCCATCCCCTCCCCCACAGGTATTGTATAACTGTATGGGTTTAGCGCTTCACCATCATAATAATAATATGTAATACAGGTCCTCCATCACAAATCCGGCATCATTGGGACCTGTAGTGTGCCGGATTACTGAGTTTGCCGGATTACAGAGTGGTTAGGTTAGAATACACTTAATAAAATTAACCAACTTGACTTGCACAAAGTTCACTGAACATTGGCAAAAATCGAACATTTCCGCTACTTTGAGCTCAATTTCAAAGTACTTTTGATCATGAAAGCAATAAAAATCATGTCTATTTCTGTAATATATCTTCCATTCTATCAAATGCGTCCAAAAAAATGAGAATACAACCATAAAAACCATACAAAAATATACTGCAAATTAGGCGGCTAATGGCTGAGAAGTGAACTCCCTTATTTATCGTCAGTCTTTTTTATTTTTGTTGTACATTAAGAAGCATCTTTCCATCATACATTGCCGAAGTTTCAATGAGATAGCCCAACAAACAACCGAGAAAAAAAAAATATTTACCAAAAATCATACATGGCAAGCCCAAGCCAGGTACTGGAAATAAGTCACTTTGACTTTTCTGGGTTATCCTAGGTTCTCTATACATACACTGCTATGTATGATAATCTATGTAAATGTATTTGTGTATACCTTAATACACTTATTTACTTCTAGTCTGTCAACTGAGTACAAGAAACCGCCCATTCACTTATTTCAACTACCCAATAAAGTGGTCAGGAATTGGCAGTTTGGCCAATTTCACACAAATTTCAACAGATGCCAATTTCAAAATAGGGTCCAGAATAAACAATGCAGACATTCCTGGCACTAAAGTAACATTTTCTCTGTTCATTAGTCATGGCTACAGACCCCTCTTATATTATTCTTATTTATTACCATTTGGATTTTTTATTAACAAAAAAATAGAAGATTTACTGTTATGCAGATTACTGCATTATTGTAATAAATGTATAAATAATGTCAACCCGTTCTTGACTGGCAGGCGTCGGACAGGTATTGAACAGTGATGTCATTTGTTTACTCTTGAGATTCGCTTAAGAACAGAACATTTTCGCTACTGTGAGCGCAATTTCAAGGTACTTTTCATCATGAAAGCAATCAAAATCATATCTATTTCTGTAATATATCTTTCATTCTATCAAATGAGACAAAACAAAATGAGAATATAACCATAAAAACATACAAAAATATACCACTAAGCGGTCGCTAATGGCTGAGAAGTGAACTCCGCTATTTATGGTCTGATTTTTTAAATTTTTGGTCTACGTTAAGAAGTATCTTTTCATCATACATTGCCCAAGTTTGAATAAGATAACCCAACAAACAACTGAGAAAATAATAATAATAAAATAATAATAATAATAATAATAATAATAATAAAAATAATAATAATAATATCTTTATTTACTATACGTACATGTACAAGGTATACAGGCCTAGCTGACATCAGTGACATACTACTGTACAGAAAGGCGCTTGTTATGGCGAGTATTTCAAGAAAATTAGGTCAGTGTCCCAGGATAACACCCACACTAGTCGGCTAACACCCAGGTACCCATTTACTGATGGGTAAACATAGACAACAGGTGTAAAGAAACACACCTAATGTTTCTACCCTGGCTGGGAATTGAATATTTACCAAAAATCATATATGGCTAACCCAAGTCAGGTACTAAAAATAAGCCATGTTGACTTTTTTGGGTTATACTAGGTTCTCTACACATATGCTGCTATGTGTGATAATCTATATAGTGAAAATAACTTTTGTTTCATGTTTATGGTGCAGTACGAGTATATATCACAGTTAGCCCTGTGCTACACTCCGTTTTCTCTAATATAAGCCACCAAGACAGGGATAGGAGAATGGTATTTGTATACCATATCCTCTTCATACCTCCGTCGAACTGCTCGGTGTTATGCCAAATATTATTTATTCTGGAGTATTTAACATGCTTTATGTTATTTATATTGTTTCTTATGTCATATTAGATCAATTGTGATAGGCAAATAAGCTGTAGTGTTGATATTAGTGTAATAATAAAGCATATTCTCCTGCTTCATGAGACTGAGCTCATGGCAACCGACAATGGCTTCAAAGCCACCTTATCTTTAATGAATAATGTGCGTGTAGGTGCTTACATAATGAGAAGCATTTCTTTTCATTGGAACAATGCAGGGCTAAAGAAGCAGGATAAAGTAAGCGGAGTGTATTTCGCTCTATTTTGTGGCTCAGAATTTGTTTTTTGTACTCTGATGAAGATTTTAATTTCCTCATGTTTTACCATATCTAGTAATTGAAATTTCTCATCGTTGAACTCATATTGTTTTCTGCAAGCCCACTGAAAGATTTGGTTGATGTCTGCCTGAGCTTTGCAGTGTCTGCAATGGGAAGACACTGTCATGCAGATTCGGGTGTCCTCTCAAAGGAAGACCTGTGCTGTGGCTGACATCCTTGTCCTATGTCGGAAATAAGGATGAGGAACAAGATTGGAGCGAGTACTGTGCCTTGTGGAACAGAGCTTTTTCACCGTAGCTGCCTCGACTTTTAACTCTGTTGACGACTACCTCTCAGTGTTCTGTTAGTGAGGAAATTATAAGATCCATCGACCCATCTTTTCCTGTTATTCCTTAGTCAACGCATTTTGTGCGCTATTACGGCCATGGACACAGTCTTGTCGAAGGCTTTTTGCAAAGTCAGAATATATTACATCTGCTTCTTTTTGTCTTCTAGTGCATTTAGGACCTTGTTCGAAAGTGGTCCAATAGTTGAGACAGACAGGAGCGGACCTGGTTTAGAACCCATGATGCCCTGGGTTGTGAAACTGATGGGTTTCTAGAGGCGTGGTGATCTTGCTTCTTAAAGGACCCTTTCAAAGATTTTTATGTGATAGGATGTTAGGTGCTATTTGGTCTGTAGTTCTTTGCTGTTGCTTAACTGCCCCCTTTGTGGAGTGGGGCCTATGTCTTTGTTTTTAGTAACTGATGGACGACCCCCGTGTCCATGCTCCCTCTCCAAAGGTGGAAAAGGCTCGTGAAAGTGGCTTCTTGCAGTTCTTGAAGAACACAGAGTTTCCATGATCCTGGCCCTGGGGCAGAAGTGCATGGCATGTCATTTTATCCGCCAGTTCGAAGTCATGTAGGACGTCAGGATAACATCGGATAGGCTGTGTTAGTCAATTTTGTGGCTCTCTCATAAAAAATTCATTTTTGAATCTTCGACTCTCAGTCTGGTAGCGGCTTGCTAAAACTGAGCTCATATTGGACTTGAAGTAGCTCACTCATTTTCCTTTTGTCATCTGTGTAGACCCATCTTGTTTAAGTAGCCCAATACTGGACGTTGTTCTCGATTTTTGATTTGGCAAATAGAAGAAATACTTTGTTTCTTTCGATTTCATTATGGCTTTTAGTTTCTTCCCTCCGCATTCCAGAACTCCTAAAGGATTCTTTTGCTTAAGATTCGATGCTTGCTATTTTCTCTGACCAGTGTCTCCCTACGCATTCAGATATATTGACCTCTTTTTAGCCGCTCTGTTATTCTTTTCCGTCGCCTGTAAAGGGAGCGCACTGTCTCTTTCTGTTTTACATCTACTCCACCTTATTCTTAGAGGAATAAGCCTTGTGCATACATCGAGTGCTACCGAGTTTAATCTGTTTCTAGGCCATAAGTTGGGGTCTGTGTTGCTTAGTATATCTTCTCCCAGCTTATATCGGTTAGGACTTGGTAACTTGTCCCACTTTATGTTATTTGTTATTGAAGTTGAATTGGATGGTGAAAGCTCCCTCCGTCGCGTGACAAATCTCCTTATGTCGGTCCTGGGGCTCGCGCGCATACATGACTGAACCTCAATTATGTTTGATCTGAGTATATTGTTTTTGATATGGTGAAATTTCTTATCAGATCATTATTGTTATGAAGATGAGGTCTTAGTGTATTCTCCA